TATATATATATATATATATATATATATGGGCACCAAGCTTTTAACAACAGTCCACTGAAATATAATATATACCAGACGCTAGAGAGAAGCATTTATCAAAGTGAGCAAAAGCAAAAGGCAGAAGAGATTCTGAAAACTGTTATTTGACACTTTGATAGATGCCCTCTTCTGCCTTTCACCAGACTCCTAAGGCACACTGAGTGATCAAACTATTACTGTAGAAACAGCGGGGAAATTATTCTGTGGTGAGCTTGCACACGGCAGACTGATGTGGCCTACACTCCCCTCTTCCTCCTGGCTTTCTGTTAAACATCAGGCAGCAGAGAGCACTGGTGTTGGGATTGATTCCATATGCTGCAGTGCATGCATTCTCTTCTTCAGTAAAACAGAGTTTATAAGAAACTGCAAGGTGTTTTCTCTTTTCTATCCAACCAGTTCACTCGTGACTGCGATGGCTTTTGTGTTGTGCGTGACTCACTGATGGTAGAGATGAAGTCCAGGAAGCGCTCCTTTGGGAAGATGGGGTTCTCCAGTCCTCTGAAGTACAGCTTCAGCACCCCTGCCACTGAGTTGATATCATGCTCATTCTGGTCATCAATCAGGGGATCTTCTCCTGATTAAGAGATATATGTGTGCTTTCAGTGGTGACATTTGATGGGTTTATCCTGTTAGTATTTGTGACATGAAAAGGGGGAATAAAACGCCATCTGTCTTTGACTCACCTCTCTCAAATGAGTTCTTAATATCATTGACTTCGACCTGTGAGCCCGGCACACGAAATATGCCTTGCTGCTGCAAGCCTGAAAGAAAAATACAACCCAGGATTCAGAGATTCAGAGTTAAACTAGCGACCATTATCACCAAGCCCCAGTGCCAGCTTCATGAAAGCCCATTGGAAACACAAAACACAGAGCAGGAAATGTAATCTAGTCATAAAGGGAGATGCGTATTTTTCCATGAGAGGGCCCCTCAGTGAGGCTGCAACATATGGTTTCAGTTAGAGGGCTCCTAATCAGTTTTCGGGAGTTTCATTAGGTCCAGATCCAGAGGAAAGACCTGCAGGCTACAGCAATGAGCTGAAGACAGATGTGAAGGTAGACAGGGAGGAGTTATAATCACGGTTGTGGGGGGGGGGCTAAGCTGACTAAACCAAGATCAATGGGACTTTCAAAACTCTCTGTGTGTATGATCTATTGTTATGAGCTCGTCAAATCACTGGCAGGCAGCTGTGCGCCTCAGAGACTCGAGGTGCAGAGCAGAGCAGGTCAGTACCTGAGGTTATTTGTGGAAATAGATTGCCCCGTCCAATGTCTGCTGTCACTTCTTATGAGGCTGAAGGAGTTTTCAAAGGGCTCCATAGTTTGCTTTCTTTTTCTGCCCTTTCGCTCAGAGGTAGTAGTCACGGCAACATGGTGTGAGACTTACCGTACAGATTGATGTGTCTGACACAGCTCTCGACAACAAGTGGGATTGGCTGACCTGAATCCTGAAATGAAATGATGTAAAAAATAAATAAATACAGACAAGGCAGGACAAAAAACAGCAAAAAATAAACACATTACTAAAAGAGTAACATTTGTACAGCACCATTATTAACTAGTAACTATAACTACAATGTCTAAATACATAAATAAAGATTACCTTATCAATACGCAAAAAATAAAAAATCTCCTGTTCTAGTGCATATTAATTATTATCACAAAACTAATCCCTAAGAAACATTTTATTAAGCAAATTTCATGAGTGGTGTAAAGCAGACAAAAACATGCAAATTTTAAGTAGCAGCATGCAAGTGTAGCCCGAGCAGTAGCCGGTATATTTCCACTATTCGTCTAGAAGGTTAGTGCCCTTGTGCCCTGAACTATAGTCTCCAACAACAGATACCTGAACGCGGGTACGGGCATTCCTTCTTCCTCTGGGACAGAAAGCCGCAAAGCACAGAGTAGCAGCGGAAGAGAGGGCACAGAAGCACAAAGTTAGAAAAGCTCAGATGACGAATCACCCGTCTGGAGGTTAAAGAAGGCTAAGCACAAGGACTGGCAATAGGAAAGCTACAGAAATGCAGTGAAGGGTTGGGTGCAGTGAGGGACAAAGCAGATCCACTGCTGTCTCTCAATCGTTGAAAGAGTGGGTTTAGAAATAAAGCCAGAGATAGTAAATTGTTCTGGAGGGGAATAAAGAGACAGCTGACTGTTGCTCTGTCTGCACCAGCAGAACCACGGAAGGGAGGAGGAGGATTAGAGGTTAAACAGAGGCGTTATAGCACGTTCAAGGGCAGCTGGAAGAGGGAGGAACAGAAGGCCAAAGTGACGAAGAGAATGAGAGCGAAGGCTCTAGCCGCCTTCCCCTCCTGCTCCACAGGGGCTGCTCAGTCATACACCAGCAGAGGTACCTTGATGAAGGTCTCCATATTGCCGTTAAACAGCTTATGGTTATACACGGAGCGTGGCCTAGGCTTCCGCATTTTCTGTGGTTTGGGGGGAAGGGTGGGGGGCCTGTGAAATGATGGACAAATGATACAAAAACACCATATTCTGTGAAAACTGTAGAACCAAACATGGAGGCTCAAAAGCAGGTATGAATGAAAAAACAGCCTCTAAAACAGATCAGTAAAAAAACATCTGTTTAAGTAAAGTAAAGTTACATTTTTTAAAATTTTAATAGTTTTTTTTTTTAATAGTTGAGAAAAACCCAAAGTGAGATCTTTAATCACTGACGCATGATGAAAGTCAGCCTTTTAATTACCCCTGAGGGGTTGTGCAACTTGACTTACTAAAAACATAGCACAGATTAATGAACATGACTAACAAGGCCAATAAAATCATCAACAAGTTATTTTCAGTAAGTTTCATCATATTCATATATATATGACAATCCTTTTCGAAAGAAACCACAAAAGCATTATGTTGTATGTGCAAGCAGATGCCATTTTTGGAGAAGACAATGGCAACTGCAAAGCCATGGCCACTCTACGCCAACTTTAATATATTTAATATCCATTTTATGTCTATATAGCATGGTCTTTGTTTAGACAGTGCTTTTCATTTAGTGCAATGTTGCCATGCAATGTAGTAAAATATAACTAATATATAAAACAATAATTAAATTATTTAAATATAGATTTATCTGTTTGGGTATTCAAACAACAGCCAACATGCTTTTTTCTTCTTTTCCCAAAGACATTCTAACGATTTGAAAAAATGCTGTCGGCAAATGTTTCATGGCTGAAAGGCAAAGGACATCATACCTTGTAGTTCCACATTCAGCCCTTTCCCCTGCATGAACAAAAAAACACAAAAGGGACATGTCAAATCTTTGTGGTACACATTATACAGACTCCAGTGTCACTGAAGGGTTTGATGAGACACAACATGACTATTGAGGGAGAGATGAATGGAGCAGTGCGTACACCATTCAGAAAAAAAGCTATTGAGCAGTCGTCGCTGAAACCACAGGGGACCCAGAGGACCCTGTTGGGTTATAGGCCCCCTCGCAGAGCAAAGAAAAGGGGGGTGGCGGCTGCAGTGTGTATATTATGTTGGAGATGTCTGTGCTGGTTCACTGAGCCTTTTGTTATGGGTTTCCAACAACACACGCATATGCATGGACTCATTTAACTGAAAACACACACATACTTCAGTAAGTTAATTTAAAGATGACCCAGATTTTCTTTATCAACTGAGATTGTGTCTTTGTCTGCCAGTGACTGGATTATCAACTGAAAGTATTTCAACATTATTTCTTTACTCCATATAACAATGGACAGAAAGAGCAAAGGCTAACCCATTTCTCAACACATCATTCTGGCAGATGGACAGGGTCTCTGGAGCATTCATGTGAAGAAACAGCACATTTCCCAGACACCATTCCTCTGAGTGATAGCCTCTGTCTACCTCTGACCAACCAACCTCAAAATTACAGACTTTCTCAAGCATAAGCACAAAAGTCTACGTTGATTTTCCCCTAAATTCATTCGAAAAGTGCCAGAGTCCCTCATTGATAGAGGGATATGTACTATCAACATAAAAAGAGACGAGTACAAATCAGATTCACTGAACAAGGGAATTGGTGACTCCTTATCTGGGAAACAAGGGCTGGCAGATATCCTAGCACCATCTTGTCTGATGCCAGTGCTCGACATTATGTTTTTATTAATACATGCAGCAAGATGCAAACACCATGTGGCACTCACCAGTCTCATCTTGTTCCCTCTGTCATGCTCACGAACCACCACAAACACGCTATTTCGGGGGTGAATCAACGGGCTAATGAGCATTACGCAAGCCTGATTGATCACCTGAATAATTAAACATGGGTGGTACCTGGAGACGCCATATGCCGTTGACATACAAACGGCTCTGTCCAGAGAGTGATATGAACTATATTCTGAGTGTTTATGAGTGCAAAAGCATGCAGCTGATAGTTTGCCACAGAGGGTGGCAAAAGTGGCCCTGAAAGCTTGGGCAAAATACAATTTTAAGTAAAGACTTGAATGAATGAATGAATCCAATGTGTGAAATGAGGAAATATTCATGTGTGTTGCAAGGCCTCAGCTGTCTGTGCCTGATGCCCTTTTCTATGAGGTGAACCCCTGATGCAGGAGCAGCTGTAGAAACGGGGTCTGGGTCTGGTCCTGCTGATTGATTGGGCGTAAACTGTTCACGGCTGAGGTGACAAGGGGACCCCTGGGGAAGGGAGGGGCCGAGAGAAGCTTTTCTCTTACAGCCTGGAAATAGAAACCTTCCCTGCGGCTTCCCCATATAGAGACTAACCAGATAATGCTTTAACCAATAGAGATAAGCAGAATGGGGAATGGATACTTCAAAGTAGATGTGGTCTGCTTTTAGTGTGATAGTTTTTCTACTTGAATATCAAATCTCATTACTTCCTGCTTCCTTAAAAAATTGTTGTGTTTGTAGTCTCCTATACCTCATTGCTTGTTGCCTATTAGATCAGACCAGCACCATTATAACCCGAGGGCAGATATTTTACAGAGCTGTGGCGGGATATTCTGGGTCATAGATGAAGACAGACAAAGAGAATCGACTCCTTACCTTCGCCCAGTGTCTGCTTCAGTAAGTCATGCTTGGCCTGCAGCTTAATGATGAGGTTACTGCCATTCAGGTACTCCTTGAATTTCTACACACAGAGAGATGAAGGCAACAATGAGTGAGCAGCAGCACTAATCCAATGTAACATGAGCCCAGTCAAATGATTCAGTGTTGCTCAAATCAGCATAAATTCAATCTGTTCTAGTTTAATTTAATTTATATTGGCAGAGCATGTGGAAAGGATGACTGGTGGTTTGATTTTGAAAAGCAGAGCAACGCGGGAGTTCATAGCAGGCCATTAACATTTTGGAAGGATAGACAGATCAGAATTGACAAAAACTCACCGAAAAGTAAAACATTTCAGTCTCCTGTTGGTTCGACCTCCTCTTGGCTACATTCAGCTTGCTCATGTAGAACTCGGAGGCCACGGACTTAATAGATTCAGTGGAGCGGCTGTGGTGAAAGGCATCCGACATGTCAAAGTCCTCTACTGTCAGCATGTCCTGCAGCGTTTGCATGGTGGCATCCAAGGTCTTTCTCACCTGCACAGATGGGGGGAAATAGAAAGGAAAGAAGATGACTAATGGAACATCACATCATACTCCGAGCCTTGATGGAACCAAAGTAACTGATGAGATTTTCAAGGGCAAGAGAGTGATTTGCAGCACTAGCTTATTCATATCAAAGACAAATTGACCCCTGAACAATAAATGACCTTGAATTACACAGAAATTATATTGTGCAGCATTGAAATATCAGTCCAGAGCAACCCGAACATCAGGCATACATCAGACGAAGACATGAAAATGAAGAGTCTCTGGCAACGAAACAAATTGTATGTGTAAATTACTGAAGAAGGCTTTTTGTTTAGGGCTGAGATTGATAAAGCCCATTTCCTGTAATGGCAGGGCTCGTCCATTATCCTCCAGAGCACAAGACACAGGGAGACAGGGAAGAGGCAGAGCCATTGGCACAGGAGACTCTAACAGGCCCTGGTTATTATAACCTCCATTTGCACTTTTGTGTCTGCGGCACTTAATGAGAAAGTCCTCTCTTCATCACGAAATATACAATTTCATATATAACATCATAGAAAACACAACACTGGTGCTGTGACAATCTTAATATATTCTCGCCTCCTGCAGAGAAAGGGTCATTGGAGTGTAATTGCAATGAGAACAGATGGTGATGTGGCCCTCCTACTTGGCTCCGGGGTAAATGAGACTGTTTTTGGGGGGTGGGGCTGATGGTGGTGGTGGAGGGGTTGCTGGACAGACACAGGCCCATCATAAATCCTCACCTCCTCATTCTCAATCTTTAGCGTAGCTAAGCGGGACTGCAGTTGGTGGTAGCGCATCAGGAGTTCAGTCTGGACAGGCTGCTGGGCGCTCACCTGGCACACCTGAGGAGGCGAAGGAGGACACATGGGTTACAACAGACACAAAAGATCCATCTGAAGCTCAAATAGTTACTTTGTAAAAAATAAACATTCTTCATTAAGTGACATCAATGTTAAATCTGCAGCATTTTAAGCATCTCACCTCATCTCCCATGTGTGGCAGGTACTCAAAGCGCATTGGAGGGCAGAACACCTGGTTATGCATATCCATTATCTTGTGCTTGTCACTGCGGGAATCCAGGTTGTCCACCGCATTCTCTATGATATCCAGTCCCTCGTGGCGGGATGTCTCCAAGTTATACTCGGCAGATAAGTAGGTCCTGAGGGTGCGTGCCAAGCTAGCATGGTAGCCCAGGTCACAGCACTGCGGAGATAAAATGTCTGATAAATAACCAGGAAAACATTCTGAAAATGTAGTAGTGGATGGAGTTGCAAAATAAAGTCTGAAATAATTAAGATTAAATCAACACAAGGCTGAAAAAACATGTTTTAAGTTGCACCTGTTACCACACACAACAGTGATGTCATGATGTACCGACCACTCCCTGGAGTACACTTCTACATCACTGCTGCAGCAACGTGTGAAGTTAGGCCACTGAAAGTGACCAAAAACTTGCAAAAGATTTTGAACTGGTGTTACGTTGCTCTTTAATTAATATAGATTTATCAGGGAATAAGGAGGAATGTGCGAGTTTCAGTAAAGTTGGTTAGTTTGATGACCTTCTAGCATGTTCAGACCTATTTAATGGAATAAATCCCAGATTGCATCCTGCTACGGGTTACCTTTCAGAAATAGAAGTGGAGTTCACAGAATTTCAGGAGCTAGCACAGTAGGACACCAGGGATAATTACAGAGTCTTATCATACAGAGCTGGATGAAGTAACCTAATTAAGCAGAGGATGGTTGTGAGAAGGTTCAGAGGGAGCTTGAGGCAGCTGACAGCTCTGTGAATCACTATGTAAACTCTCTTTAACACTCTTTAGCACTGAGGAAGTACTCTTTCTACTTTGGTGCACAAGCCTCATTTGCGCCACTCAGTCAAAGTGGTTCAATAGATTAAAGACTAAAGGGAGCAAATTAGCTTCTTTTTGAACACGCAAACTGAGTGAAAACACATTCATATATCCAGCAGCAGCCTGAAGGAAGCAGATTATCGGCGAAGGAAGATTAGATACACTGTCGACACACGAATCACACACTTCCATGTGTTTTATATCTTTCCCATTAGAGCTGTGCAAACATATTTTAGGTGAATACTGCATATTAACATTTATATATGCATTTCATATGCCACTCATTTAATTTTCAATATGTTTATGTTTACATAAACTCACTCGTTTGATTAAAGTCTACTCAAGTTTTTACCCACAGCAACAATACCTCACACAATCACTTTAAAATGCTTAAATTTCAATTTGGTCGCATGTAATCACCACAATAGATGCATCTAATGTATGCATTAACCACCATGTACTGAATTATTGTTTTTTGTCTTTTGTACTGTATGCTACAGCTTACCATTTGCTACTGCAAGGATTACATTTTAACCCTTAATCATGCGGACACCACTGACCAACCTCCCTAATCACAGCATTCATTATTTCTAGGCAGCGTAGAATCAACTCAACATGTTGTTCAGAATTACTCTTCAACAGTTTAAAGCCAGTGATGCTAACTGACAAAGCTGACTTCTTGCAGCGTGAGCATCTGGTTTGATGTGTAGTGTACAGTTACTCTGAGTTGACAAACGGACCCTTCTTCCTCCCCTGCCCCGCTTGTGGCAGCCAAACCAGTCAAGCTCACAATCCCATACCCTGCAGCTCAGCAGGATTTGGGATGACATGGACATTTCAGTTCCAAGACACTGGGTCCATGAAAGAGGCAGGGATAGGCACGAATCGGGTTATTATTATGTCAAGCTACCACCAACATCTCACCATCACACTGCACATAGTAGATACATACTCTTCATGCTATTTCAACTGCAATTGTGTAAAATAATGTAATGGTTTGTTACATTATAGAAATCTCACTGAAATCATATCTTATCACGCCTGACCTGGAAAATGTACTATCGCTGTGACTAATGTAGGGCCGTATGGTGGTCAGGCCTCAAGCAAAAATGTGACAACCAGGCCATTAACAGAGGAGAAAACAGGCACATTGAAGGGCTGACAGGTTAACATCATAGATAGAAATCTTAATATTAAGGTTTTTAACAGCCACAAAGCCCACATTCACTACCATTTGTCACTTGAACTCTATATAATATAATATTATATCTTCTAAAATGCTTCATAATGTGTTTTGATTATTGTTATAAAGGCTGTGTGTGTGTGTGTGTGTGTGTGTGTGTATCACATAATAGTGGAACTGGATGAAAAAACTCTCAGAGTCTCAAAGTCACACCTTCCTGAAGTGTTCACATCTGAAAGTTGTAGATACAGAAGATTTTGAAATACTTTGTCTAAGATGTCAATAAAGGCTTCCTCATCTCAATGTTTCTCTGTTTGTCTGCAGGATGACTGGTAGCAGGTCACCCGTGGCTTAGAGCCCAGTGCCAACCACATTAACTGCATTCATGCCTGCATAAACACAGCCGCTGCTCACCAGCTGACTTTGATCATCTTCCAACCATTAGTGGTTTGATGAACAAAGTCAGTCATTTTAAACTGTGGCAATCAGACTTTCCAGCAGTGCTACTGGTTCATGATTTCAATAAAAGTGACTTCATATCAAAGTGGTTGATGTAGGTTTGGTGCACATACTGTACAAAATGGGGATATTATTGTCAATTATAATGAAGGGAATATTATAGTGTCGGAGTTAGAAAGACTGCTTCCTCTACTCTGACCAATTAAAGGAGAGACCACATAAGGACAGAAACAGCAGCGAGAGAGTCGGTATGTGTCTGGCGTCATGTCTTTTACTTGGTGACAGTTTGAGGCAGACAATCACAAGTACATGCTGTGTTCGTCCCAGCAAAGGTCCCAAAAGCAGCATCAATTAAAACAAATGAATGAGGACAAGACAGAGGAGTCAACACTGATGGAGTTCCTTGAGAAAATCAGTCAAAAGTATCCTCCTGTAGCTGTGTAACTAATACTCATGTCAACAGCAATCAGTTACCAGCATATCGGTGTTAAGTTTGCTGTGCAGAGATTAATAATGAAAAAAATGATGGCAAATATATTTATTGGGGCCAACAGAGCAGCTTGAAAACAAACAGCTAACAGGCTGAGAGTGAATGAAACTCCGGAACAGATGGTGAGAAAAGCGACAGTGCTGCATAGTTAAATCAACATCAGAAATCCCAGCTGAGAGATATAAACAAACACATGTGCCTAGTGCATACTTACATCAATCATATCAGAGACGTCATGGATGTAATACTTTGCCACAACTGCATTTGTTGCTGCCAGGTTCAACAAATAGTCATTCCGGGCTTTTGTGCATTTCAGCTTATTCTCTGAGTACTTGGCTTGCCTCTGGGGAGGAGAGAAGAGACAGAGTAGATGAGGACAACAAACATCAGTGCAGGGAAATGAAGCAGTAGGGAGGGTTTGAGTGTGCGCTCAGGCAGTGGCAACTTTGGGACCAGCCTTGGGACAGAGACGGCAGGTAAGTCTGGAGATTCAGGCTGTAGAGAAGCTGCTTCTAGATAGTAATGTGTTAAGTGACACAGCCAGGCTTTAGTCATGATTCTGTCTCTAAACACTTAAGTAGCAGAGGTTATTGATATGTAGCATCACAGGAACATTCTGACATTTTGGTGTCTATGCTTATTCACTTTCAGGCAGAAATTTAGATGAGAAGATTGAGTCTGAGTAAATACAAAGCCGGGGCCAGCAGCGGGTTAGCTTAGCTTAGCATAAACACTGGAAACCAAAAGGTAACAAAATCCAACTACTAGCATCTGGAAAATTCACTTTACTCATATTTTTTAATCTGTACAAAAAAGAAAAAGTGTCAAGCGTAAAACAACAAGTAAGCAGATTTTGATACCTTTGGACAGAGCCAGGCTCATTTCCCCCTGTTTCCAGTCTTTATGCTAAGCTAAACTAACTGGCTGCTGGTTTCAGCTACATATTAACTATACAGACATGAAAAGGGTATCATTTTTCTCATCTAACTCCCAGCAAGAAAGTGTGTATTTCCCAAAATGTAAAATGATTCCTTCAAATAGAACATTTAAAGTATTTAAACAGACTTTAACTTGATGGTCGGCAATCTGTGGGCCTTTATCTCCCATGTGAATTCAGATCAATACATGCAATTCTACTAGAATCTAAAGAATATAGATAAAATAACATTTTCCATCAAGTGACATTTGTGCTGAAAAATGAAAACACATTGATTTTGCAAACTTGTGCTTGTGAAGTAGTTTCACTCTACCAACTCAATGACTCAGAAATACAAAATACAATACAAATACAATACAAAAGCATCATAGTTCTAAAGCAGAGACATTTTGCCCATTATTTGAATAGTTTGTAAATTTCACTATACATGAACATTTCACTCCCAATTTCACAAAGCTATTATAATGCCAAATTTCTGCAGTGGCTTAGAGGAAAAGAGATTAACTGCAGTGTCTTCCTCTTCTTCCTCTAACCTGTTAGCAGGCAGAGTAATGAGACAAAAGCTTAGAAACAAGAAGCAGAGGGAGAACTCATCGGCATGCTGTGTTATAAATAGTGTTCAGTTCCCAAGAAAAGCAGCATCTCTGAGGATACCAGCCTGAGGAGGCTGTCATTCTGACAGCCTTTTGATTTCTCGCACTTGAGAGATAATGGGAGTTTCATTTGAGAGAAGAAATTCCAGAAGAAGATCCAGAATAAAAAATGCATGGGTGCTTCTAAAGTACATGGTGCTCCAGAGACCACCAACCCTAGACTGCTGGCAGAGAAGACTTTGTACAAAGAAGAAATCTGCATAAGATGGAAAGTGAGTCGGGTTGTTGGCAGGGAGTACTGCTGTTTGCTCAGTGAGTATCTGGCTGCAGACCTACAGCATTCTCCTGAGACTTTCTGACATTATGCTGGTCTATCCCTCTCTCACTCTCTCCATGTGAACCCAACAAATAGAGCTGGTCCTCCAGTTACTTCAAAATGACTCATTCAGCTTTGAGGAGAAGCTGCTTAACCTGCAATAACTGTGAATATTACACGTTCATTATTTACACTTCAGCATCTTTGGTTGGTATGGTGAACTTGTTGGCAAAACTTCCCACAGACATGATCAGACAGATCAAATTTCTGACCACCTGACAGATGTAAGTCAAATATTCACTCTGCTATTCGCTCTGTTCTTGGTCTTTACTAACTCCTGAGGGAAATACGTAATGTGCCACTGTGTTCAGCAGATGGTCGCTAACTTTGTCTAAGTGTACGTACACAGTGGGTTGAGCAATACAGCTGCCTGCTGTGACCAGAAATGACGTTACGACATTGGTTAGAGTTAACCAAAACATAAAAAACAGAGTTGAAAGCTCAAAACCAAAACAATAAGCTCAAAGAAGCTACAAAGCTCAGATGAGCTGAAAAGGAACTGCAGGTTTCAGTGTTAATTCTTTGTGGGTTCCCCTATGAGCGACCCCTTTAACATTGAACATAGCAATAACATGCATTGCTCTTACACAAATACTGATAATAGCAGCTCTTAATGTCTAAGCTGGCCTAAAAACCCAACTGATGGTTCGGGATTTGAAGCTGAATGGCTCCATATACGTAAACATACACAACACTATCCATCCTTCATACACACCTTCTCTTTCATCTTCTCAATTTTCCTGACGAAGCTGCGTCTTGGTTGGCGGTCCTCGTGGCGCAGGAGGTTGACGTTGAGATCTCCGGACTTGCTGAACTGCTTCTCCTCCTGCTTCTCAGCATCCTTCAACTTGCTCTCTGCACTGATGCTCTCAGTGTGGTACATGTGGTATGTTTTCATCACCTGCAGCAGGAGCATGACAGATATTCAAAACATTGACCATTAATGATGCTTCTTATTATCATCATCATCATCATCACCACCACATTTTACCAATATAGGTTATTATAACCTGGAATGACAAGATTTAAAGATGCTTGGCAGATGCTGCCAAACTATGAAAAAGTGACAAATCAGAGGATAGTAAGTACAGTAGCCCACAGACTGAGAGGAGCAAATAGGTGTTATATCAATGCTTTATACAAAACTAGAGCTGCAGCGATACGGTGATTATTAATTTAGTCGAACAGAAAATGAATTGGCAACTATTTTGATAATTGATTAATTGCTTCAAAAATGCCAAATATTCCATGGTTTCTGATCCTCAAATGTGAGGATTTGCTGCTATTCTATGTCAGATTTTTACATTTTATAGGCTAACCAATGAATCGAAAAAAAAGATCACTATATTAATTGAATAGGAAAATAATTGTTAAAGTCCTATATACAATAATACATAGTGAGTAGAAGTTGATGGCATCCTTAGTATTTTTAGTTAGCCAGCCATAAATATGTAGTAGCAGCCACTGCTGGGAATTGTAAACGGACTTGTAAACAAGCCCCGATTCAGTTTGCAAATTGTCATGGATACCACAACACAGAAACTTTAAGGTGGGTCGACTGAGAAGTGATATAAATGGTTTAACAAGCTTCTTTGTAGGCCAAACCAGAAAGACTCTTTTTTGCTTGTGTGCTTATACGCTCTTCACACACCACAATCAACACCTGTACACTGACTTACAACAGCATTACTGTTGTCTTGATAATGCCATATTCCCTCCAAGATGCAACCAACATTGCAGAGATAAAAAGAAAAGATCAGAGTTTTGAAGGCCGTCCGTGTCCTTTCCTTCCAAAATTTGGTTTGATTTGAGCTTTTTCATGGTGGCCCGGAAGATCAATTTAGAAGTCAATGCAGTTGTAACAAAGATGTCTCTACATGTGGAATATTTCAAGTGAATCCAGGGGCCCAGGGTTGTGTGTGGTTTAGCCTTGGCTGTCAAATCTTCAACTCACTCCCTCACCCCCAATAACTGGGGCTTTCCCAGCCTCATCACTTCTACAGTAACTCTTCATCACCCAAAACTTGTTCATTTTCAGCTCTTTTGAGCAGCAGTGACAACATTGTTCTCTGCATTTACCTCTTCACTTTGATCTCTACTTAGACACTCAGACCCCCCACACCAACATGGCGATGACAAGACTGTAGTGACAGAAAAGCCTTCTTAGACAAGACAGAAGCATCCTACGTCTTTAACTCGTCCCAGATGGTCGTTGGGAGAGTCTGTCCTCTTGGAAGCCCATTCTTAAGCCTCGTAAAGGAAGGTCCAGATGTGAGCAGCCTCTTCAAACATCTCGAGCACATAGAATTAGCTATGAACACCTCAGGATGTTAGACCGTCAACATAAACAGTCATTTCTTTGATTCCTGGGATTGAGTAAGTAATGCTCATGGTGCTGAACTAAAGCAGTGGGGTTCCTTTTATCTCTACAAGAGCTACTTATCAAATTACATGTTTGACGTTGGGTCACACTATAATCATCCAATGACCTCCAACCCTGTGGTAGTAATATTTACCAGTGATGCAACTTGAAGTGGCTCTATTTATTCCCTTGTATGTGCTCTGAGTAAATAGTACTCCTCTCCAGGCAGTGAAGGAACTCTTATAAAAAACTACAACAACAGAGTGACAAAAAGCTGCAGGGAAAACACCTGAAAGTGAAATAAATAGATAGAATAAAAGTCACTAGTCTATTCTCAGAGACAAAGCTTGACTTCGACGTTGCCACTCCACGAAGAGAGAAACTAGGCTAACACCGTTTCTCCCCAGGCGGTCAACCCGTTTCCTTTCAAATTCCTCTGAAGACGTGCTACATTTCAATGCAGCCAACTTTGAACCATCTGACTACAGGACCTGCAGCTAAAGACACAAACTCATTTGCAGAAAGACTGAGCTTCAGCTGCGTCTACAGGAGGTGTGTGTTTAGTTGAGTCATCTGACGACAGCCATGGGCCATTTAAATCCTGCAATCTCTGAGCTGGTGAAACAAACCCAACAGTAAGATAATGGCTGGAGTTTCCATGAATGCAAGGTGAGAAGTAGATACTGCTTTTCAACGTACATCTAAATATTCTTGGCATTTAAGCCCCTGACTAACCACAACACCCCTGGTTCTACTCTGACTGAGGACCTTTGTTTCTTTCTTTCCCTCTTTATCCCCCGTTAAAATATTCACCTCTCTGACCACTTTGAAAGATCTACTGTGAAGAGTGAAAACAGGCTCTTAACCATATCATGGAAAAATTATGAAAAGTGTCACAAAGTCAAACCAAAAAATGAAGGTTACCGTTTGCAGAAAAGGGCAAGTGAGATGCAACAAATCTCTTTCAAAAGGGTCTTATACATATACATACATATAAATAAATATACATACATACATACATACATACACATAAATGAATCATGCGCAAAATAAAGAAGATTTTTGGTCTGATCTTTCCCAATAATTAAACAGCAGCTATGATATTTTGACATTTATTTTTTTCAGCACTAACAAGCAGTGAGTAGATGTTGTTAAATACTGTTGAGAAAACAATGACTGAACTACAAATGTGTAAATGAATGGAACCAGCACCCAGGTCTGCAGGAGATATGGTCGATATTGATAACAAAAGAATAACCGTGTATGAGACTGAAGAGCAGACATCAGACACAAGGTGGTAGATCAGACAGATAAGATAAGCTTTATTGATCTCAGTGGGGATATTAAGTCAGTGCAGCAGGAAATTAAAACAGGTAAAAGCTAAGAAAACTGAATTTCACAAAGACATGTTGCCGAGAGCAGGAAGTGACTTGCTCCTTGTACATCCTGGCTTCTGCTCCTCTCTCATTTCAGGTTTGGTATAGATGACAAGCCACCAGAACGACAACAGGTTCTTCTCTCAGTAATACTCATGCTGCAGCGTAATATTTGAACAATAGCTACAGCCCACAGTCTTACCACTCACCGATCAGCCAGGGATCCAAATGGGAATTTCACAGTTTTATTTCAGCAAAATTTGTTTTGTTGGCAGCCAGCGAAAACTGTTTCAAAACACCACAAGGCCATCACCATGTGGCCACGCTATTGATTTAGCTATTTCTGTACAATCAAATACTAACAAGGGTGCAGTCATGAAAAACTGCTTTATTTTCCTCCAACAGACAACATTACAGCTGCCTGAGGGTCATTTGTGAAATAACTTCTATGCCTGCCTGTGCATTGTCAAACCTCCAACCCACAGCGTTGTGGTGGAAGCATAACGCCCACCCTACATTTACCTCAAAGGTAAATACCGTTAGCTCTGTCAGCACTGTTTGTGCTGTTAGAACCATTAGCTGCTAGCCGCTAGCTCAGCCGTCTCCATGTTGGGAGTAGTGTGGAGGCAATCCCTTAATCAATGATTAACACCTTTAAAGAAAAAAAGAAAGGAGTCAAGAAGAAATACTAAAACAGGGAACCCCCTTCAAATATGGTCACGATGCAACGGATAGTTAGTGAGAAAACAATGAATTAGAAGGGAAAGGTATGTGTTTAATGTCTAACATGAAATCTTTAATTTCATAGGAAGAGATATTGGTGTTATTGCAACAATAATCAATTTATTAACCTTCGCTGAGAATGTTCACACAACTCCTACAATCCTCATGTTCAGAAAGAACGAGGAAATACGTCAACGTTTGGATTTCAAATGTTCTGCCGGACTGCAGCTGAGGCAAAGTAGAAAATGAGAAGAGGAACCATCTGACTTTTACCATGCAGCATTGTCCAAAAAGTATAAAGATATAAATAATCATATGTTTCCATGTGTTTCAATGAACCTGAAATACACAGTGAACCAATCTGGCAATAGCTGACAGGTACAACCTTTTGCACCAATAATTGCATTTTAATTTATCAACATAAAGACATAAAGTGTGGAGTATAGAAACTATGGCCAGTCTTTAAAAGTATTTGCCAATAACAGAGCCCTTTCAAGATGCAAATGAATGTCATGAACATGCACGCACTTTTGATTATCACTTGATCTCCATAACGGGGATCTTTTGCAGCATCCAAATGTACAGATGGCAAGATCAGGGAGAGTTGCCAGCACTGCCCTTTGATAGTTTGACTTTCATCACATTGCACAAATAAATAAGTCATACTATACAAGGCAGCTCTGCCATCTCTTCAGTTTCACCGCAGGGGGCAGAAGACTGCTGAAGTTGCCTGGAGCTCGTCCAGGTTTTGGGCACTATGCCTCCCTCAATAAGAACTCACCAGAGTGCTCAGTGCCGCACCAGTACAGTATGTCCTAATCCCTGACAGACGTTCATTTATCTGCCAGGTTTCCTGCAGGAAATCCCCTTATTAACAATTCAGTTTCTTAGTTCTAACCAATTATCAAAGAATAAAATGAATACAAAAGTGGTCGAAGAAATGGTGAAAACAAAAACTCTTAGTTAACTCAAGTTAACTTACTTAACTTGTGTTATCTGACAGTGTTGTAACAACACAGTCTGTGTGCTGACACCCCATTTAAATACATCGAACAAAATGTGGTATGGAAGACATACTGCCTTTAATACTTTAATATTTTGTGCATTTGACTGCATTAGTTTTAGCAAGCTGTATCTATTAAAAATGGAAACTGAGTGTATATTATGCATAGGTGGGCTGACGGTAAGCCTCGGTTTTAGGTTCTGCCAGGACTGTCGTACGGACATGACGTGGAATGGTGACGAGGAAACGTTTGGATCTTTTATACTCTGTGCGGGAAAGCACACGTAGTTCAAAATGTACAAAGAAGAAAGCAAGGTAATAAAAGATAATTAAAAAAGAGAGAACATGAAATAAAATGTCAGAAGGCCAGAGAGAGGAAAAAGAAGTGGATGAGCTCGGAGATGCGATAAGGTGCGAGGCATCGATCAGTAGCAGACACTGTGTATTACTTACAGTGTAGAGTTCATTCGTCACCTTCACCAGCTCCTCGTGCATCTGGATCCCAATGTCCTTGCTCTGAAACACAGCGAGCAAAAATAGCAGGGGTGAGACAACAAATAATGTTGGAGCCTTCAGCTGTGACCTGTTGGTCGGTTTTGCTGACACAATGACTTTGGTGAGTCATAGTGAATATCTCTACAGCTACTGAATGGATTGCCACTGAATTTGGGACATATTCAAGGACATCAGAGGATGAATCCTAATGACTCCCTGATTTTTTTCCTCAAGCGCCACTGTCAGGTCAGAATTTCCACTTGTGCAACACTTGAGTTTGTGAAACGATTCCTCTGAAATGACACTTCAATGCCCATCAAAAGATAAACCAGTCGGATGAGGAAATTAATGAAAATATGGAGAATACTGCTCACAAATCTATTGTACAGTGTACAAACAATCACAGTGTTCTTGTGCTTTAAATGTATTAGTAGTACCTCTAATGTACAAATTTACTTGACACACTTACTTACTGTTCCATTCTACTTGGTGTTCAATAGCCAAGACAAGGAATGCCACATGCACGTTTAATGTCCTGTGATCATTAGTGGTGGAGATTTTTGCTTAAGCTATGATCTCTTTCTGCCGCCAATTGAATATGTTTTGTTTGGAAGAAACTGTCAGGGATTCAGTGAACACCTCATGAAGACACAGTTATTTTTCACAGTCATATCGCCACACAGCATGCCTTGTGATCAAAAACATGTGACACACCTGGGCTGGAGAAATAAATGACAGTTAATCTAATAATGTTGTGTGTTTGTGTGGGAGAAAAGCATAACGATTTTATTTGAAGACAAAAAGGTGATAGAATTAAACAGCACCAGGATGTTAAAGTGTGACGACATGACACCTTCTAAAAAACAGAACAAACACCTCTAACTCTAACTTCACAGAGCAGGGAAGTTGTGGTGGAGGACGGTTGATAGAAAAACCAACGTCGTCAATAACAATCACAAATAGCATGCTGGTTGGGCTACTCTCCACAATGTGACTATAATTAGTCTTCTATTACATTCATATTTGTCATTTAATATGTCTTTAATGTTCCCATGTCATGGTGGGATCATGAAACTCACAGTTTTATATCACAACATTAGGGTCTCTGCATCAGTTTGTTTTGGTAAGTTTGATAGAGTGGATATTTACTGTAGGTTTTCTTTTATCTATTTCTTTTTAGGATTTCTTCTCTCTGCCGGGGGACCGAAATCTGTGTAACATAATGATTAGCTTGCTAGCTATCCTGCTATCCCTAGCTACATAAAACATCAAGTAAAATAGGCTTTAGGTAAGTTTGATGGTTTCGATTGAATGTTTGGGATACCACTATAGCAAACAGAAAGAAAAGAAATGTGGAAGAGTTGGAGGATGGGGCGCCATCCCATATGCAAATAGTTCTTTGCTGCTTTCTTAATGTTCAAAATGTAATGTATAGCTCCTTCTACATAAAGTGCAGCACAAAATCTTTTCACTTGAGATTACAATGTTGAGAAACAAAGGAAAGTTATGCTGATTTTTTTTTTACCTTATTCCTGCAAGCAATGTTCATTAAGTGTGATGTCTAAAATATCTACCATATGTGCCTGTCAGTGGGTCGTCACTGCAGTAAAATAATTGGCTTTTGTTTTCTTCTGCCTGCCTGAAGGTGTCACCAGCTACAGTAAGAGACTACACTGTTTATAGTTTAGATTGTTGCACTACAGAATAATACAAGCAGCAGAGAAGAACGGATGCTGATTGCCTGTAGTGAGTGCAAGGACAGTAACATATTTAACTGACAGTAAAATGTTGTAAAACGCTATAGTCCTATAATTGACACATTTCTGGACTGCTGTTAGCATGCTAACCATGCTAGTTACCGCAGTTTATGTTGACTTTACAACTCCACCCACGCAGTTTCCTGTCCCCCTTGCCTTTGGCCACACTGCACTATGAGTCAAGATGCAGAGCCCTATTAAAGACAAGCCACGTAACAACCAAAGTCCACCCCTTAATCGTTTGACTTTTAATGCTAAGCAAGTAATTGCATTTAGAGGCTTCAAACTACAATCCTTCACAAAGCCCGGTTGCTGTAATGAGTGAGATTTGGTAATGTGAAATGCACTGCATTTAGCAAAACAAAGATCTGAAGCATCTTTACAGGTGTATGGACAGGAAAGAGAAAATCTGTTGAAACAATGACAGTTCTTGTCAGATGGAGATTGAAGCATACAGCTAATTATGCTAGATAGGTGGGCTGTTGGTATGCAGCTAACTATAGCTGATAGTCATGTGCTTTTAAATACGGCAAAAATGTTTCAACGAGTACAAAACGTTCTGCCATCTTTCTTAGAAGCTGACTCATTAATGCTGGTACATCATAATGACTCAGCAAGATGCATAATTGTTATTTCACATATGATTCATTAAGAGTAACAATGAATGTTCAAAGAAAACCTCACTGCAGCAATACAGTTAGGGACAAGGCGAGTATTAATGCAATTCCCTGACACACACACACACACACACACAAACCACACCAATCCCCAAGTTAACATGTTTGTCCATGCCCTAATTGGCTAACTGTGCTTAAAAGAACTTGCTACTGTGGTGAGTCAGAAACAAAACTATTCATCAAAGAGGAAAAAACAGAATAACCTCAGGAAATAAGGTGGGATTTGTTGTTTTTACTTTGTATCTGGTGTGCAGGCAGTACGCCCTGCTCAAACAAGAACTGGACTGAATGTGATAAATGGGAAATATCCACAGAGGCCTCCAGCAGCTGGTAAATGGCATCTGTATGCATCAGTGGCTCTGAAGTGAGACAGACTGCAGCATGTACTGCAGAGGCGGAGGGAGGATTCAACCAGCGAGTGATCCACTGTGATGCAACACACTGTAAGAGATGTGGCGGGTCGTAATGTAACATGTCTTTAAAGAAACCTGTTAGTATTCATTCTTAACAGATTCCCTTCATAGCAGGAAAGAAGTAGCAATGTTGTACCTGCTGTAGTTTAAAAATGTAGACTTTATTACAATCGTCACATACGTACATGAAATTTGACCTTTGCATTTACGAACCGGGGAAGCTACGGCAAAGTGCCCAGGGAGCAACTTGGGGTTCAATGTCTCACTCAAGGACACTTTCACATGTAGCCAGCAGGAACCGGGGATTGAACCACCAACCATGTGCCTAAAGGACAGCCCACTCAATCCACTGAGCCACAACCATTCCCTACAGCCATCTATGTATTAATATATTCTCTTTGTAATTAATTTAAACAGAAACAGTGCCTTCTGCACATTCAAATCTAACACTCCTAACTACTATACCTGCATTATTTGAGACAGAAGAACACAATACCATACACCATCTACACATGTAAGGCATAACATACTGACCATAACTTCATAATTACAATGTGTCATTAATATGAAACATTCCCACTATAAGTCACAGTTTTGTTTGTCATTTATATGCTAAACGACACCTTGATCAAGTTGTCGTCGACAGCTGGAATCTCTGTCCTTGATCACCTCATCATGTCCAACAGTCAATCATCCGAAGCTCGTTCATGTGTATGTGTCATGAGTTCCATGACATTTTGATGCATTATTTATTGGCTCCCAATATGTCTGCCGGGCAAGCAGCATGGGAGCCATCCATTCATACATTCAAATATAGAATCAACTACCTGAGGGCACCTGACTTAAAAAGGTCGGAGTGCTTCTCTCTTTTCAGCTCTGGCACAGTTTCTGACAAACACTGGCCTGGCTTGCAGCCACACAAGTATACATACACACAGCTGCACATGTACAAACACATACACACAAACAGAGTAATATCTGAATGGAACCGATTAAGCAGATTGCAGCTCACCTACAGGAAGGCCTGCAAGGTGAAAACAGGGTTCTGATGTTTGGTTAAGACCTCAGTCGTCTCTGCTAGGTGCTGACAGTGAGCCAGATGTTGCTCACACTTGTAGGGGCGAGGGGTACTACATTTCTTTAAGCTAACATCACTGAATATGCTGAGGCCAAAATAAAGCCAAAAAGTAGAGAGGTAGCTTTCACTTTAGCTGCTGCAACTTGAACCTTGCAAGTTCAACTTTATAGCAACACCAAGGCATAACAAAGTTCAGCAAATGAAAGCTTCAAGCACATTGCTTGGTATTTGTTTTGTCCTTCTAACTCTGACAGTTTGTGCGCTAGACGCTGGTGATAAGAGAGTAGCAGTAAACAATGAGGGAAGGATGATAGTTTCACTGACCTTCTTGAACAGGCGGATGATGTCTTCGCTGATCTGGGCCAAGCGGACGATGACATTGTTGGTGTAGATGTCGCTGATGGTGGCATGGTCACGGCTCTCTCGTCTCGTCTGGTTCAGCACCAGGTACCAGCTGTTTACTGAAGACAGCAGGTGCTGGTCTTTCCTGAAAAAGCAAGAAAAATACAGGGCTGTTAGAATGTCATAATATGAATAGCTGGTGATGCATTTTAATCGTCATTTGCTTTCAATTCTCAGTTTCATGAAGCATAATAGCAAAAAAGCTCATTTAAACAGGACTAAGAGTCAACAGCCACTCTGTGAGGCTATACTTAGGCACAGCAGTGCTTTGAAACTTTGACAACGCTAGGATGCTGATGTGTAGCAAGTGTAATGTTAACCGTGTTTACCATCTTAGTACAGTGTGTTAGGCATCAACTGTTGTAAATGTATAATGCTGGCGACCATAATGGTGCACAGAGTCATGGACCCTGATTGCTGCATAATCAGTTTAAACTGTCTCCGCCGCGGGTGATCTCAAATAGAAAGACCAAGGCGCAAAGACATAGAACCACCAACACACACACACACACACACACACAATCCCCTCAAACCCATACCCTTGTCTGGATCCTATCTGAGTATTAATCAATCGATCCACCTTGAGGAGGAGACAAAGAGAGAAGGGGAAATGAGAGCAAAGGAGGGAGAGAGCCAGAGCAGGGGATAGGGTTTCACTAGTAGAGAAAAAGAGATGAGCAGCACCAACATCAAAGAGCCCTCCTTCAGAGAGCTTCCATTATGCTAATCACATCTAATGAAGTTGATATCTAGCTACTCCAGAGTGCTTACCCCATTATTCCTTTACTTAACTCAGCCGCTAAACACACTTACATCAGGCTGACAGGGCACAAACACCAGCACATAGTTCTCATGACATCAGTGAGGGGCAGAAAACAGGATGGCATGTGTAGAAAACTGAATCTATCCATTTATTACAAGGCCCGCTTCTTTAAAGTTACATTGAGAATGGTGTCCTGAGATGTCATAAAGCGAGTCAATTAATTTGCTATTACCAAAACCCAATGGTAATTTGAAAGAGCCGAGATAATCCAGCCATAAATTCACGCCACGATTCAGTCTTGCAATCAAGAGGTAATAATAAAATGATTAAATTGAACATTCATTTACTGCTTAAAAGTGAGATGAACCCAGATGACAGACTATGCAAAAAATGGGTAGGATTTAGGTTTTACTAACAACACTGACATAGAGCATATTGTCCTTTACTCCTCTGGGATGGCCTATTTCTACCGTCTCAGTCACCATCCCTCATTTCGTACCAGTTCTGCTTGACTAACTTATCTGCCTGTAAGGGATGCAGCTCTTCGGTGTATAATTGTGGTTTGTGGTTGAGAGGTTTACGGATAAGCACCTTGACTCTCTGCTAATCCCCAAAAGTGGTCAGAGATGCTTCATCACATCCCTAAGCACAACCAGGCCCATTTTAGTCCCTTTTTATCCTCCTTAGCTTTCCATCCAAACACTCTTCAGGTAAATCCTCGGCCCTCCTCCGATCGTGAAAGGTGTTTGAAGTCCCCAATGTAACACTAGTGCTAAATCTGCTGCTTAAAGCTACTTCCAGAAACTTTCACTTTGTGTTGATGTTGGCGGTCCCTGTGGACAAAAGCAGTAGTGTTTCTGAGCACCAGAAGCCATTTAGAAACCCTCTCATTTTACTGCAGCCGGGTGTGACGGTCTGCCCTGTGCAGTTTTGGTTCAGGTTCAAAGCTCAGCTCCTGGCCGGAGTAGGAGCCGCTCTCCGGAGCTCTCCCCCTCCCATCGGAGCTTCCGACTGCAGGTCGGAGGCGGCAGAGAAGCCGGATCTGGGTCTGTCTGCAGTGGGCTGGTGGCTGCCGGAGTCTGAGCTGAAGGAGCTCCGGTGAACCTGCATGATTTCATCTGATTTTGGGCGGAATCTGACCCAACGGCACCGAAAACAAACTATGTAGAAATAGCCAATCTTCTCGCTGATGTTTACCTAAGTAGGTCATATGGAGGCATCAGTATTAATTTGGGACAGTTTCATAACCAGTTAAAAGGTCATCACAGTAAATTTAAGTCACTCCTTTTAGATATGATATGCCTCTGGAGATATGTTAGGACTTCAGTTAAGCATAGCCATGCCATGAGCTAAAGAAATCACAATAACAATGCTAACATGCTGAGGTTTGGCAGGTATAATGTGTGTCATGTTCCCCATCTTAGTTTAAGGTTTTAGCATGCTAACATTTCCTGATTGGCAGTAAACACAAAGTATAGCTGACAATGATGGGAATGTTATTAGTTTTAATAATTAGTCATTATCAATTGGTCTAAAAGCGGCAAGGTATATATTCTTAATGCTTCGGATTAAAGTCTTGACAAGAGAAACAGAAAAAGGACACAAGATCTTTTTTTCCCCAGTTGCTGTGCTCATTTCACAGGAATTCGGAGCAGAAGGTTGATATTTAGGCCTGTGCACCAGCAGCATCTCTGGAAGTATTTTAACACAGTAATAAATGCAGCTCCTCGACTTGTTTTATGGGAAACAGACACTATCTTTTCTATACCGGCTCTGAGACAGAGGCTTATGCATCACAAAGGATCGACTTCAGCATGCAGTAAAACTCAATCATGTCTACTCTGTACCTACTTCTCCTGGCTGATTTACCCTAAAAGGCCGAGTATCGGTTAAGAGCCTGCGGGTCAATTAATCTAGAAGCCTTCAAAAGGGTTGCTTTGGATGGCTCCATGCCCACGGTATTTATACACAGGATATCATTAACATGCAGAAGGCAAACAATGAGCTCTGAGAGTCTCTAGAGAAGTGAGAAGGAAGAGGAGGAGAGACGAGTGCAGCTTTCTGGCATCCTATTACATCTGTCTCATCCTGTAAAGCACTGCCTGGCTGTCTCCACGGTTTTTACAAGTTCTGCACTGCTTCACTGTCTCTATGAAGCAGACCCAGACAGTGTAATCAGTGTAATCTGTGAATGCACGGAGGAGCGTGAAGAAGATGAGACCCAGAGACAGTTTAAAATGTAGAAACAGAGAAAGAGTGTATGGTTGGAGAATATTGCAATAATCCTTTGATTTAAGGATACACTGATGGCAAGCTGTCTCCATAATGTGCATACCCTAAACAAGTAAGCATTATATAGAACAGTGCATATGCTTTAGTCATGGCTGCACTGGATGCCACCATCACCCAGGGCCTATGATGTGTCTCAGCCAGGATTTCCAGAAGGAAGTGTGTATTTATCAAACCAGGACTCGGCTCTGTGGAGGCCTTTAATCCCCTCCACCCCGCCTGCCTGCTGCTTATCAATGAAACAGCCAAAGAAAAGGAGAAGGAGCCAAACACAGTTTCAAAAGACAAGGGGAACGTGGGCACATGGAGCCAGCTTTGCCATTGAAATTCATTTTGCCCCCGTTTTCAAGCAGGGCTTCAATATGCTACAGCGCTGATCTGCACATCATTTAGCACATTTTTTTCTTTTTTTTCGTGAGCAGACACACTGCCAACATGTAATAATGCACAGCTGCACAGAAACGGTGCCAGAGCAGAGTGCAGTACAGTGAATAGTCAAGGAAGAGTTTAACAACATCTGAAAAACAAACTGCAAACCAGATAATTGTTTGATGTTGCACATGCTGTCTTCCACCAGCTGGACTTGTCAACCTGACACAATCAGGGAATGGACTACTGTGTTCAAACAAACCCGGCCTAAAGAGAAACAGTTTAACCTTTTACCCTTTGCCCCTCGAAGCTCCTGAGAGCAGCCATGGTTATGGGACTACATTTACAGTTTGGTGCCAGTGCACATAGCACCATTAAAGCACCTGATACTATGCAGCAGACATCATTCGTCATATTAATATCATAACTAAAGCATTGCATCACACTTGTTTAATTTCTTTTGAAGACAAACGTATTGATGCTAAAGGCAGCCTCACACCGTTCTTAGAAGAAACACGCTGGAATATCCAATGATACATTTTCAAAGCTGTGCCACGCTGACCACGAAGTGAACAAAGTCATCACATGGAAATGAGCAAAAGCAGCTTCAAAACTAAAATAACTCACATATACTGCACGGAGATCTGGCGCTGTAAAGATACCAAACAATTTTCTCCCCCAGTTCATGCCAAACCAATCGCTTGGACACACACACACACACACACACACACACACAAGCCCTGTCTTATCTCTTCCAAACAGGTTATTCTCCATATCAATATTGCATGAGTTGCCTTTTTAATGGTGCTACGTCTGAATATGTCTGTAGAGACAGATGATACCAATCCACTCTAATATGATGTGGTAAATTATAATCACGTCCATGATATACCTTGAAATATCTGCTCCATATAATCAAGTTAGCTGTTGTCTCTCAGGAACTGTGGACCAGTAAGAGAAAGGAAGTGGTGCACTATCTCGCACAGCAACTGCAGCATGGAGCATCTCAGTAACCCTTCAGTGTGTCTTTTTTTACTTTGGCAAATGAGGTAAAGTGGAAAAGCAAAATGATCCTTGGTCGGGTTGCTGCGGTGCAGCTGTAGCTGCAGTCGCTGTAAATCACTGTGGCATTCAGCTTGCTAATGAATCTGCTCTGGGAGGGTTCAGCCAGCAGACTGTAGGCTGTGATCCAGCACATATGGAAGTCTGTCCTGGTCAAGATCGTATTGCTCTGTTTTGGATGTCGCTTAAAGCAATAAAGGTATAAATCAGCAGTGCAACACAGAGTTCACAGAGCATAGCCTTTACTGCAATGAATGACAGTCACAGGAAAAGGATATAGTTCAGATTTGCTACGTGGTATGAAATACAGAGTAAGAGATAACTCAGACAAAATCAAAAGCAACTACCTAAAATATAACTGCACTGAAGTGGGAGGCCAGGCACAGTACAGAGCATGTCACAGCTGATTACCAGGATTTGTGGTTGCCTGCCTGCTCAGACCTGGAGTTATAGGCACATGGTGCAATCAATGTCTGTGCTTAATGAACTCATTTTGGACAAAATAGTCACCAGTTTACATTTAATGTAGCCTGTATACGCTTTAAGCAGGAAAAAGTATAAAAGTTTTCATTCTGATACATAAGAGAGTGTGTGCGTGGTATGGATGGCACGTAACACAGACTTTTAGCTATGATTACATGTCAAGCAAGTGTAATAGCCGCCCACCCACACTTCCTCTGTGGTCTGTCACTCCTTCAGTTTGGCTCTTTAGCTCACATTGTTGAACTGTTTCATATTTTTAAACATTATGTGAATTAATATATTTAAAATAATTTCTTTATGCTGAATTAAGTTCAATATACAGGGCGTCGCATAAAAAGACAATCATTAAAAGTGTGATACATTGTTGTCCATTTAGGTCACTATACTGTGGACGTGTGTAGGTGTGTGTGTGTGTGTGTGTGTGTGTGGCCTTTGTCACGTCACTGCACTGCTGTCTGCAGCCTGCTATGATCTCGGCAGTGTAAGGTGTCAACTGTACAGTCCAAAGGGGGAAGCACACCTCCTCTAACACATCTGGACTCAATTATGCAGTCAAATCCTCATCCACTTCACACACACACATTGTTCTCCTACATACAGTTAGTGTACATCCTATCCACACACTTCTACATGATCTTATTCTATGTCTACCGTCAAGAAGTCCAAAACGTGTTACTCAAGTAAAAGTACTTTGATTAGCCGACAGTGACTTTTTATTTACACATGAACAGTGAATTGGGAGGCACATTTCTCCAAACTTCAAACCAGGTTTGTTAAAATAACTGTAACCCACTTAGATGGCATTTATAAATCACATTAAATAATCTGCATAAATAAACTCACTTCTCTGCAGTTTGAATCATCATTCAATATGGTGAATTGGCTTCTCGTGGATGGATGCGCAAGTATATCTGTTTATGTGGATCACATGATCGATAACCGGGTCCTGCAAAACATTGTCATGCAGCAGGCCAGTGAGCATTTGAGAGTCAGACAGGCCTCTTCATATTAGGCATTTCAAGATTCAAAATATGAAAATGTTAGAATTGCAATCCTGCAGTTTCCATTTGCAAGAATCAGAGCTGGAGTTAAGACTACATGTTGGTGTAGATTAATGTTGGAGATCTGCTGCCAGATCACAGCTGGGTTAGTTTCCAGACTGAATCAAACTCGCCTCTTCGCCCGAGGTGCTTCATTTTAGGAGTGGCAGAGCTTAATTTCATGCCTTGTGTGAGTCATGTACCAATGTGATAGTGGTGATTTCTGTGCAGACAATCTCTCTTTTTCTTCAGTGTTTCTCGAGCTGCAAATCTAAATGGGTCAAGGCTACGGGTGAGCTGATTTTGAGCTGATGACCTTTAATGGACTTAATTATTGTTACCTTCACTCATAAGATCCATTTATGCTTTGGCCTTTGTACTTCACCATTGGCTTTATATTTCTCTCAACAGACTCAGACTTTCTTTCATTAAAATAGTACATGTTAAATAATCAAATCAAGTAAAAGTAATAGGAAATGATTTACTATATACTATAACTATACATAATTCTCCAAAATCATTTTACAAGATTTAGTACAATAAACTGTTGATACTTTGAGCACTCTTAAAAACATTTTAATCCATGACAACTAATTTATCCTTGTTAGTCCTTAACATTACAGTAATACAGTGATACCTACAAATACAAAGATCCATCTCGCCAACAGTCAAGCACACACATACAGCACCAATAACACTGACTGTTTTCACTGATAACTTCCTTCCTTGGATAAATCACATAGTTTTAAATTAATATCCACCGCCACAGGTTTCTGTCTGATGCAGACTATGCTATATTTGTACATAATGGATGCAATTCTAAAACATAATGAAGCACAAAGCTTCACTCAAAGCTTCCTTCTATGAAGTTAAGTGTGAGACTACATCACTGAGTGCATTGGATTTGTGATGTGCAGCCCTCAAAAGTATTTAACTTCTTTAATGAACTGCATCCTTATCAGCATGCCAGAACCAGTCGACCTTTGAAGATGTCATAGAGAGCTTCATTTTAATAATGTATATTTTCTTACAGTACATAATCATATTGGAGAGTTTTGTTGTGTAGTTCTGCACTGTAATCAAACAAGGCACTGTGATTAGCAGCAGGGCTGGGTCTTACAGTCAGGTTATAAATAGTGAGTGTTTAGAGGAGGATAAAGTCACTTGGCATACACATCCCTGTGGTCTGGTACACGTTGAAAGGAAAAGGGGACAGTAGCTTTACAAAAATACATTTAAACCGAACAGAAAAACAGTTTAGTTAAAGTAAACAACACTTAGGAAAACTAATATGCTTTCAAGCTACAACGAGCTAACGAGGGCCTAATTTCCACAGAGGATGAGCTACACACGTCCCCCTCATTTTCCCAAAATCTAATTTTTGTCCCCATTACTTTTATTGTCTCAGATTTACTCACTTAAACTTAAACTAGACAATGCCTTCTTACTGTCCAGTCGTTGATATGCTGCTGAGTTGCCTTTAGTTATTAATGTGCCAATGGCAATAAGCTTATCGAGCAGTGGTGAGTCATTTGTGGGCTATATTTTGCCCTGGGTTCCTGCAAGTCATAACTCAGGGCTGAGAAAATATATTGCACTTTTTTTGGGTAAAAAAACATTTGATCTATATTTTTACACTCTTTTTTTTCCTTAAAATGTGCTATAATTGAATATCGATCAAATAGCAGTAAAGAATAGCAGTTTTTTAGTGAAGGTGCAAATAGGAGGAGATGCAAATCAGGTCAGCATTTCAGATTTTTCATTAGACTAGCATTCATTTGGAAAGCATAAATAAAGATATGTAACCAAACCAATTGCTTTTCACACAACCTGTCTGATGCACAGACACCGTTTCATCAGCAAGTGGCTGAACGGCAGCGAGGGAAACTCACTTGAACTGTTGGTGTTCCCTGGAGCTGCGGATCTTAGAGGAGAACCTCTCGGCCAATTTCTCTAAGCTGCGTGAATATTCCAGTTCAATCTCTGCTTTGCGGCGGAAGAACTCCTGCAGGTCCTGCAGCACCTGGATACGAGACTCAGACTGTTGCTCCAAGCATTTGAACTGCTCCACCAGCTGGTTACGGATCTCTGTCCAACAAAACAGAAAACAAAAATGGTGAGTCGACTGTTTATGCTGCTGTTACAGCATGCCTTGGTCATTAACAACCTGTCAAGCATATTATGAAGTGTATTGTCTTTATTTCCCCCTTGAAGAACATTTTTCTGAGGTATTTGTCTTCCACGTACTCATTTCATGTTGAAGGACGGTTTTCTGCTTTGACACTTAATGAAACCGTGCAGGTTTATCATGTTGATTGACAAATATGACACATAAGACAATTTAGATTGATCAATCAGCCACTAACAGAAAAATAAGAAAATACTCAAGAAACACTGTGAAGCATGTTTTCCTCAAAATCTGTCATGGTGACACAGCATGCAACAAAATGCTGTGTAATGACTTCTGTACCAAACGCCAATCTTGAGAAAAATGCTGCCTAAAGATTGACACAGTAATAATCAATTGAAAGAACATCGTTTTGATCAACCCTCTAAGATGGGACTGATGCAGTGAGCACTATCCTGTGGGAAATATGTGAAGAGCTTGAGCTTGTCTTACGTTACCTGAGATGCATTATAGGACAACATGCTACATGTCACCGTCACACAGAGAAAAACCTTCACACAAGCCAAGCAGGGCTGGTAAATCAATCATCAATAATCTTATGGTATATCTCATTTTTGGTTAACGCAAATAACAATCAGTAAATGCTGTTATTCACAGCTATTTCATTTCACTCCTTCAGACCAGCAGCAACATCAAGCGTCTATAGCAGAGACTGGGAAGGACCAGTGAGGCTCCATGCCAATCTGTAAGATGAACCATGTTGTATGATACCTGTGGACCTACTGTGGAGATAAAACTGATTTAATTAGAAGCTAATGCATTCTCCCACTTGGAGCGAGTACAAGAGTAACATTTCTCCTCGAGAGGAACCTGATGCTGCCAGGCAGACTACAGATCCTTCATGCCAGTGGGAACCCATGAGAGAAACCTGATTCCTCTTTGTAGTGCTGTCATCAGCAACAATAATGCCTCTGCTGAGGAACAGAGAAAGGCCTATTTAGCAGAACAGAAACACATCCTGATGGAAGAAGCGATTGCAAACAGGATGAGTGGTGTCACTTCTCAAGAGGAAAGAAAGCTCCTGAACTAATGAGCAACTTTTATTAGAAACCAAAATGACGCTTTGTTGTTACATACAAACACGATTTGCCTCGGTGCAGTTCCTGAGTCAAGTCTTGCAGCAGAATTAAATGACAAGAATTCAAGATTACAGCACATCCAGAGGTGGTTTCATCATGGGTCTTGCTTTCAGTGTTTTCGTTATCTTCAGCAATTCATCAGACAAACAGCGTGATGGAAAAACAAAAGCGTGTTTTATCTTAGGTTTCTTTGGAAAATGTTGAATTCCTTTATTTAAAGCAATAAATACAAATTAATACGCAATCTATCACATGATGCTTTGCACAGAATTTATTTACCAGCTTATCAAGCTTTTCCTCCACTCAAAAGGACTTTTTGTATTTATGTCTTTACTTCCGCCTTCAAAAGGTCTGCGTGGTAAAGCACTTGAACGCAGCAATGGAAAAAAGCAACTTCCTTAATGTAAGTCACTGCATGTTGTAACATCTTGAGTTACAACATCTTGAGTCATCGCAAGCTATAACCCTAAAAAAAACAAGGACTAAGGATGGATTTTATACATATCCGAGCCATGGCAGATGAACTGCTGACTGAATGGTGAAACCGCTGCAGTGACACAGACTGTGTTTCCATTGCTGCTGAGGGTGTAATTTGGTCAGCCAAGCCCTCCTTGTGGATATATGCAGGCTCTCACTGCATGGGGAAGCTTGCCATTTAGAACTGAAACAGTGATGTCTTGGGGGCGAGCCTTCTCTTTCCCTGTGATGTCGTGCCGCCTGGCCTCAGCCTCGAGCGGCATGCTTCACTCTGTGGTTAACCATTGTCCCAGCCCTCCACTTCATCCAGGGGGCCTCCCTCTCCCTTCCAGCGCTGACAGCTTAAAACTCCGTTTTTAGTGGGAGCCCGGAACCAGAGCTCATGGGAGGGATACCACTTAACTGATTCAGTCCTGACAGGAATGACTGGCTGTCGCAGACATGCAGTTACGTTCCCTGCATGCAGTGTTTGTTTTTTTTTGTTCTATGTTATTTTTCTGTAAAAGAGAAAAACAGAAAAACAGTGGCAAAGCAGGCGAGCCGAGAGAAGTGCCCCAGGAAAATGTGACACCGATGTGCATGAGTGACAGGGAGGACTTTTGAAAACAGTCTTTCACGAAAAGGGAACTCTGAACCAGCAGCTGCAGCACTACATTTATCAGATGAGTTTGGAAAAATAGGTCACGCACACCAGTAGTGTGCCCTTCCCTCTCAGAAACCATGAGCAATTGGAGAATTATTCCCTAAGTATTCCCAGCTCTTTGAGTTGCTTCACTGGCTGCGGTTTAGACAAAGTGAGGGACCCCTCTGTGGTTCTTTACAATCTCAGGAGAATGTAAATGTCGGCCTGAAGCTAAAGTGAAAATGATTGTTTCTCTTTTTTAAACACCACCAACATAAGTCCTGTGCACTATTATTACACTCCTTGACTAAAGAAATCCTTCTGATGTCCGTATTTGATTCTGCTCCGATTTGCTACCATGAAGTGAAGAAATAAAAAGATCAGCGTTTACAGCGTAGATAAAACACACAGTGAGTAGTTTGACGCACGACATGCCTTAATTGCTTTCAAGAATAGTAACTGGTTCAAACGCATCAAGTGCCTTTAAAAAGATTTATGTATGATATTAGAGACCTCACATTTTCTATATGATCTATACATAACCTCAGTATACAGCCACCACATCATACCTTCATTCCTCTCTGACATGCAACAAGGCTTTAAACCCACACATTTCTGTGTAAAGATGCTAAACATGGATGCCCCACTTTCAGCTTGATTTATACTCCTGCGGCTGTGTGTCTATGTGTTATGTGCCGGCACCTCTCACACACGGCAGGCACACATAGTACTGCAGTGGATTGTGCTTAGCATGTTATTTATTTTTGGTTTGGACTCGCGGTTTTCAAATCCTTTGTCAGGTGGTCATTAATTTATGTGATAAACGTGATTCAATAGTTCCATTTAAGTTTGGCCCAACAAAACTCCAGGGCTGGAAAGAAACATGGAAGAGTTGGATGATGAGGAGGAGCTCTTGTGCTTAGATTTAATAAAGGTGTTGTTGTTGGAACAGGATGTGATGGTAGTTGTCCAAAAAATTTATTTCCTAGCTCTGATGTCCAATCAAACGTCTGCGGTGCAGGTGCGTAGTGACATTATTCTGGAGGTGCTCGGCACATATGCAGCTCTCTACGTGCTTGGCAAACCATACTTAAGGCTCTGCGTAAGCTCTGCGCAAGCATCTACACAGAGATATAAGTTAGGCAGAGAGAGAAAGGGGGGGGGGGGTGAGACTGGAGCAGCTGGAATATGGTCAAACCCTTGATGGCTAATATTAAGGCCAAAATTATTTGTTTCAAGGATACTTTTATACAGCCTATATTGGAGGAACTTGTGACAGTACAATACAATTAGATTCCTGCTCTGCCATTTTTGCCCTTTTTGCTACCAGTTCAGTTACATGCAATGAAAAATTACCTCCATTGCTGCCGCTCTGTAAATCACAACGTTCAGTATGACATATTCTGTATATGACGCATTATGAGAGCAGACAGTATATATCATCATGAAGAGCCCGTCCCCTTCCACTGGACACCTGCTCCACAACATAATCTCCCCTTCACCGTTTAAAAGGACAGGAATTGAAAGCACAGTGGACACACAGGAAGCCCTCTGAAAACAATAGTGGGATGTTGAAGACTCCTGACCTTTGACCCTCACAGACAAAACCCTGTGTTGGCAGCTGTGTTAAAGCACCGTATGGTGATGTTTCTAGCAAAGGTTGAATGAACTGAACACTAGAGTTGCACTCCTCCCAAACTTGTCTGTGAACTGAACACTCACCTCATGCTAAATATCTATACAAAGTTTGGTTCACAGAGACCAGATGCATCCAATGAGAGCCTCCATCTCAATTCTCATGCAAGGTGTTATATTTAGAGATCGGTGACATGTCAAAGATATGTTTGAGTGTTTGGACAATGCAGATGGACATCACAGAAACTGATAATGCAGTATGTGGGGTTTGAAAAGTTTCTACTGACTGTAGAAATCCGTTGTTGCTCGAGCTGAATTCAGCCTCTGTTCTCAAAACTACAAACATTTTATAACCTAGATGGGGAGAGTTGCTCTGATCAACAGAACTCACAATATCTGTAATGTTTTGTGTTTTTGTCTCCCTCAGGCACAATGCAGCTTAGTGCAAAAACTTGTCAACAACTTCCCCTACAGATGTAAAACTGACTGTTGACCTTTCCTCAGCACATAGAGGGTATCATTGGCTCTGATGTATTATGGATACATTAATGGGCTTAGAACAAGTCACTTCTTATTATCTCATACAAATTAACCTGCACCCCCCCCCCCCCTGAACTTAATTCAGGAGACCAGTGGTGATGTACTGGTGCAGCGTTTTAATGCAAGTCTGCTGTTTAAGCTGCCAGAGAAGGAACAGGAGGGATGGATCACTTCACTGCGGGGCAATAACGCTAAAATTGATCTTACATATTGATGGGTTTGACAGGATATGTCTGCTCTACAGATTTTGCAGTCACGTTTAGCATGCATGTCAATGTTTCACTGAATCTATGAGAAGTACAGATTCCACTTCATGTTTTTGGATACTGGTGCAATGACTGTGGAGGTAAGAACTACATGTCTCTGTGTAATGGGGATAAATTATAAATCATAACCAGCCTCAGAAGGTATTAAACACTTTGACAATGACATCTTTAGGCGTTCACATCACCATGCAGTAAGACACACACACTGTGTGTAGACAGACACACACACACACACAGACACACACACACACACACAGACACACACACACACACACAGACAC